AAACATTAGAGTGATTTTGCAAGATAAGCATATATAAGGCTGCATACAAACCTTTTCTTGGGTCTGCACTGTAACCTCCGTGCACATCAGTCCAGATTGTGACTTGACGAGCACTGAGAAGAGCATCCATTATAGAGGCAAAGTTGTCGCTTCCATTTCTCTTCAAAGTTGTGGGCATATTATCGGGTGTACTGATTATAAAACCGGTTGCTATTACCGTCTCCGATGGATTTTGAGAATACCATTTCTTTAGTCTTTTTTCAGACTCCGAAGATTCGGGATCAACTTGATTAGAGCCAGTTGGATTTACAATGAGGACATCTCTTCTCATCCATTGGCAATCCATATTATTAGAAAATTTTTATTTTTAACAGTGAGACAACGGGTTCGGATTCAGAAAAAATTCAGGCTCCGTTTGGTTCAAAATTTGGGGGTTTTGGGAAAAGTTTTTTGAAAAAAGTTAAAAAAAAGTTGAATTGGGCGGGTATTACGATGTAGGATTTATAAATTAATAAAATACCCTATATATTTGTTTTTTTACAAAATACCCCCTATAATAAAACATTAAAAGTTAACAAAAATACCCCTAATCCACCCTCAAACACCCCCAGTCGGCCACCACCATCGGAGGTGGCCGAAGTCACCTTATGGGCGCATGACCGGCTGGATCTTGCCGGTTATGCGCCGATATGGCCTTTTCTGGCCAGATCCACTGTGGATCTGGCCGGCAAAGGCCAGATCTACGGCCAGATCTGGCCGTCAACTGCCAGATCTGGCCGTATTTGCTCTCAACGACGGCCAACAAACGGTCATCGTTGATGGTCAACGACGACCGTTTGTTGGCCGTCGTGACCGACTGTTACGGCCAAAGATCTGGCCGTCAACGGCCAGATCTTTGGCCTTAGATCTGGCCTTTTCCTGCCAGATCCACCGTGGATCTGGCCGGAAAAGGCTAGATCGGTGCACTACGGGCCAGATTCAGCCGGTAGTGCGCCATCCTACCAGATTCCGGCCATTTTCCAGCGGTGATGGCTGGAATCTGATAAACATGGATTACTGGGGTATTTTTGTAATTTTTAAAAAAATATTTAGGGGCATTTAATTAAATTATCAAATTTAAGGGGTTTAAAAAAAGTTGAATAATATTGGGAGTAGTATTCCCAAAAATCTGAGTTTTTGGGTATTTTACTGTTTAACTTTTTTGGAAAGTATTCCCAAAACTGAAACAAACGAAGCCTCAGATTTTTAAGTGTTTGTTTTGTTATTTTGGATAAGATTTTGAGAATAATATTGAATAGTTGAATAGGGTGATTGTTACGAAATAAAATTTAAAAATTAACAAAAAAAACTTCTAAACACCCAAATGTAAAAAAAATTTGTAAAATAACAAAAACACTCCACCCACTACAGTGCCAGATTCCGGCCACCACCGTCGAAATCTGGTCGAAATCTTCTGTTACGACTCAGATCAGTCGAATATGGCCGATGGTATGTCGATCTAGCCTTTTTCAGTCAGATCTAGTCGTCGACGGTCGCAAAATGTCAGATCTATTAATTTTTAAACTTCTTTTTCTGGGTGTGTTTAATTAAGTTAATAAACTTAAGGGGTCTAAAAGTAATTAAAAAATATAATAGTATTTTTCAAATAATTAAATAAACACGTATTTTGAAAATAAGATAGAGAATAGGGTTTGAAATAATAAAACAAACAAACCCTAAAATTTTTAAGAAAAAGAGAAGAGCAAAAACCAGCAAACGAGAATGAATATTATAAATTAAAGAATAAATATTATAGTTAGATGTTAATCTTTTAGTAAAATTACTTATTTGAAACCTTTCTAATTTGTCTTATAGGAGCCAACTTCTTAAAGCAGTTGTGACTTTTTTCTGAAAGAAAAGTTACTTTGTCAATTGTCATTCATTTTCTGCATTCAGAGAAAAATTATTTATGTCTGTTTGAATAGTGGTAATATATGTATTGAATTTTCTTTCTCAAATTTAAAGTTTTGGAATTTCGATGTGGACCGTCGTCAGGAGCAGCAGATTCATGATCAAGCGAATTAGGCGCTACAGCAAGCCCAACATTTGTCACCTCTCTCCTAGCTGAACTTGCTTTGCTACTGGTGATGTCAGTACTACCGGCGCTATTTATTCAAGTCCAGAATGAAAGCCCATGGTAAGCAAGCTAAAGAATGTTGCTTCTGGAGAATGCCCAATTGACAAAAAGCACTACCGGCCCAAAGATGGCGAAAGTAGGGGAGGAAGTATATTCCTAATATCAGCCCAAAATGTTTAAATGGGTTGAATTAAGGGTAACAAGAAGGGACTTTCTGTGAAGATATGGATCAAACGGGGTGACAAGTCATTAAAAATTGACATAAAAGAACCTAAATCTTACGGAGCTTCATTTACGTATCATATAAAACAAAACATATGGTTAAAAAAAAAAAAATTATAAAGGAGAAGTAAGAGCTGTGTTGGTTCATATTATACATATTTATTTACAACTACAATTTCAACTATATTTTTGTCTATTTAATTGGGCAAACAAATGCTCCTTTTTTCCAAAACTCAACTAATCATGCATCACTTAATGGAATGAACATGTAGCTAGTATTTTAAATCGGATGAATAATACAGATTCCAAGGGAAAAAAAACTAAGGTTAATTACGATATAATCAATAATAATACTTTAAAGACGTCTTTATTAATTATTACTATTAAATTTTATCACTGATAATGCATACACGACTAAAAGACAAAGTGTCCGAGAAGAAGAATGGGTGAGAATTGAAGACTATTAATAATATTTAGATATATAATCACACACATAAAATGTGAAATTATATGAATGATAGGTACACTAATGTTAAGAAGTTCAGAATCAGAAGTTGGTTGTGTTTTGAAGAAAAGAGAAGGAAGAACTCCAGTTTGTTGAAGTTCAAATGTTTGTTAAAACAATCAACAGTCAGCTTGACAGAGGATGTAATGAAGTCTGTTAAAGGTTCTAAAATTCACTAAAGGAGCTATAGTTCTGTTAAAGTCGGTCAGTGTTTATAAGTTGAATACTTGAATGACACGGTTTTATTATACAAATAAATTTACAAATGAAAGAGCGATTGTTTCTGGATTCAAGTCTACATCGTTTGTGTTTTTGCTTCGCTTGAATTACAGCTTGAAGAAGACGATCCAACGGTGTAGCCACTACAAGAAAAAAGTACTTTTTTGCAACTAGACAAAAATAGTTGTAGATACCCCACATTTAGTAGCTAAATTCTAATTAGTAGGCCAAAAGGAATAAAATTCTAAGGTCCATTTATTCTCGCCTTTGGCGTCTAAAATTAATATTTTGCGACTAATTTGATTTGTTGCCCAAAATATCACATTAGCGACTAATTTATTTGGTTGCTAATTCTTGCGCGAACACAATTGACAACTACAACAAAAGATTCTGCAACTAAAATTATGATTACAGAAAATAATTATTTGCAACTACTGAATAGTTGCTAAATTAGATGCAAATATTTATTAATTAATTTGTAACTATTTTTATTAGTTACAAAATAATACAATTACCGAAATATCCAAACTTCTGACAATAATTACAAAGGGCCCATGGTACATTTGGCAACTAAATATTTTGTGCATATTACAAATAGTTGCAAAAACTCATGTATAGCAACTAAAATATATTTAGCCGCTAAAAGTTGATGAATTTTTTTGACCCCAACTTTTTCGGTAAAATGAAAAAATATTATTTTAATTTGTGACTAAAATTACTGTTGCGAAACTAATTAGTTAGTTGCAAATTATCTTCTTTTGGCAACTAAGATTTTAATTGCCAACATATAGTAAATTTTGAGCGCCCCATGTTCTCGCTTGAAATAAATTAAAATTTTGGGTATGTTATTTTGGCAATTAAAGTTATAGTTGTTAATAGGATTTTTTTACAACCAAAATGTTAGCTACTAAATATTGTTTATTAAAAATAATATATACTACTAGTAACCAAAATCAATTTTATTGTTTGATTATACTTTTGCCGTCTACATTACCATCTCTTTGATTCTACTTTACCATCTCTTTGATTATACTTTTGCCGCCTACATTGCCTCATTGAAGGTAACTTTTTTTTATTTGTACGTCAACGCTCATTCTTTTACCGATGGTATTTCAATTTTATTGTTTGATTTACAATTCGTTTCTTCACGACATTTGCTTTAATTTATTTAAGTATCTGTTGTTAATGACATTCCTAAATGGGTGGCTTTAACTTCGTAATGGGTGATTTTATTTTTGTATTCTCTTTCATTTGACATTACAACGACTATTATAACTGTAATGAGTGCTTTAAATTCGTTTATTATTACTAAAAACGAATGGTGTTTGATTTATTTATGTCTTCTCTTTCATATGACATTATCATTTTTTCTCAAAAACTTTTACTTAACCGCTATTTCACTCATTTGTACATACCCTGATAGTCGACCTCCTTCCGGCACTGGAACAATAATTCTAGTTTCTACCACTCTCGTTTAGTAGACAACGACTCGCTTATTGACTCTAGCACTTATTCCGTGCCTATTTCGATGGAGATTGTTAAATTCGGTGAGTTTTGGACGTGTATCCTAAACACCTAAATGTAGGGGTGTTTAGAAAAATATAGAAACCGAATCTAATTGGGAACCAAACCAGTTTTTCGTTTATCTGTAAAACCGTTCGATTGTGGTCCACAAAATTACAAAAAACTGAATTTCCAATTTAAAAAAAAAAAAAAATTTAAAAAGTAAACAATTTTTCCTTAAAAATTTTAAAAGTAAACAAATTGAAAAGTCCCCTGAATCCTTACAATTAAAGAAAAACAAAACCCCAAACCCGGATTTAGGGTAAAATAAAAAAAATAAAAAAGTGATAATTTTGCAAAGAAATTTTTGAAACTTAAAATTAAAAAGATAGTAAACCCAGTTATACAAAATCCCCAAACTAATTTTACCCTAAAACGCAAAACACACTCCACTCTTCTCCACTCCGTTCGCATCTTCTTCTCCATTTTTCCCCTGAAATCAAGACTTCTCCAGTTGCCATTGCAACACCTCTCCACTGATTAGATCTCTCTCTCTTTCACTTTCCACCCACACGAGTGCCTAAAGACTCCAAACCCAAACAATCTATCACGCAATCACACTCTCCAGTCTCTAGGAACTTTGTTTCCCGGCTAGACACCCAGCTCCGCCGCGCCACGACCATGGCGACACCATCTAAACTCAAACCCATAACATGCTCTTCGATTTAGGTAAGGATTTGTTTCTTGTCTTTTTCAATTTGACGTCGTCTGGTTAATATTGTTATGTTTTGTTACTGATTTTTGTTTCATCGTGTAGGAATTAGCCACTTCTCTTTTGTAAATCAAAATCCGACGAAAGTAAACAGGTGAGGATTGTTCGATTTAGTTATTCCATCATGGAGTTTTACTGTTATTCCTTGTTTTGGTTGTGAATGAAGAACATGATACATGTGGCTTCCTTTACAATCAACTTTCGAGTGTTTAGGCAAATTTCCCAAAGCTGATGTATTTTCATGTATTGACATTGCATTTTGACATAAGAATCAGTTGTCAATGATACTTGAATTTTTTTTGATAACTTGTGAATTGGTGCCAAATTCTGGATCTGCTAGTTCATTATCTTTTCTAAGTGGAAACATATTGATACTGGTTTATTGTTCACATCATGCCTTAGATGTTGTGAGTAGTATCTATAAGCTATGTTATTTCTAAGGGATGTAACCAGTAAACTAATCAAATTGGGCAAATATAATCTGTCGATGGAGGCTTCTTTGTCTATATGTTTAGACTTAGAGCACTTGTCTTTGCTAATGATGTCATTTTCAGGAAAATAAGCATCATGTCAAACTCATGGATGTGCCCAAGTTATTCTTAAAAGTTGTTCTGTTACATAAATCTGCAATATGGATTATAGTTATGGTTCTGTAAAATTTGTGGACTTTTCCAATCCGTATACTATCCGCCAAAATTCCATCTATTTTCTTTTGTGTTTTCATTTTTGTCTGAAGTGTAACAGAGAGGATTTACCTTTATGCCTGATCCTTAGAAATATCAGAGAAACTAGTACAAAAAGCATTAGGCAAAACACTTGAAGATTGTGTGATTTGAATCTGCTGTAGGTCAAATTATTTTGTTCATTCTTGATGTTGTTGACAAGGCTTTGGCACTTGGTACTCAAAACCGTGTGCACGGATACCTACTGCTATTCTGCAGAGCTTCAGAGCATGAGATATATTAATTTTATTTTGCATTCCTCTGTTTGCAGGGAATGGTGTTTGATCTTGCGAAATCCTATATATTGATCTTGCAAAATCTAATGCCTGACCTAAGTGCTCAAGAACAGGTCTGTAGCTTGTTGAATATCTTCCCTTAAAATTTGATTTGATTTATGTTATATATTTTAGTTGCTCGGTGACGTCATGTGTACTCCTTGGTTATTACTATTAGATGATGAATGGAGTGGCTCAGATAAGAAGGCAAGAGCATCTTCCACATTTTCAAGGGGTTCTTCTGACTTTGGTGGGTGGATTGCCTAGATTTAATTAGTTTGTGTCAGATTACTTTGTGGTTGCTTGTTTAAAGAGTTTCTTTTCTTGGCTCACTTTAGGCCTGTTAATAATGTTTGTAATCTCTATCTTGCTCTCATTCATTTGTTTTATATGAGCCGGTTGGTGCTTGTCTAATCTCTTACTTGGACTACAAATTAATTACTTAGTCACATGTAGGGGTGTAAACGAGCCGAGCCGAGTCGAGCTTTTGGCTTATCGAGCTCAGCTCGTTTACAACAGTGTCGAGCTTGAGCCTGGCGAGCCTCAAAATTGAGACTCGAGCTCGAGGGCCGGTTCGATATCGAGCTCGCGAGCCTTGTCGAGCTCGAGCTCGATAAGGCTCGATCAAACCACCATTTATTCGGGTTTGATCGAGCCAAGTTCCCTTTTTTTACAGCAATCTGTCTACGTACAACATTTCATATTTACATCCAATGTTGAATTAACCATGATAGTTTTGAACATTACAAAATGTCTATTACCTTACAAAATCAAAAAACAGTTCTGAATATATACAAATAACATTCTTAGGAGATTACCGATTTCAGAATGNAATTGTCTGTTCTCTGCATCTTCAAGGACAACCCGAATGGATCGGAAATGGCTGGTGAGCTTTCGGACTTGGTCATCAACACCCGCCACCAGCATTAACTGTTGGTCAAGTTGTTGACGAGCGATTGAAGCCAACTGCTCCAAGACAACAGAAACAAGTGCTTCAGCCATACTCAAAGATGGAAAAGGATTGAAGAAAGATGAGAAATTAAATTAAACTAACTGTTTATGAATCCAGGTTTAGAAACTAACCAGCAGCTTAACTAAACTACATTGTTTAACTCAACTTGATACTAAAGTAACTCTTTATTGAACAGGTGGTGTTTAAAAAATTCATTAAACCTGGCGGCTACCTTGTCTTGGGAAATATATTTTATGCGTAAGAAAATTGATTGAAATTTTGGCATTAAATGCACAACAGATGCCTTTGGAAATATTTTTTATACCTAAGAAAATTGATTGAAATTTTGTCATTACTACTGCATGACAAATGTCTTGGGTCGGTGGCATCAGCTTTAATTAATGAGTAATCTTACGAGACCGAAATTTTACATTGAATTTTGGTACGAGGAACATGGCAAATTTTGGTACGAAGGACATAGCAACCAGTCAGACACGATCATACTAGAATCTTTTATAAATAAATAATTATTTAATATTTATAGACATTCGTCTATATTTAATGGACTCTCGTTCATATTGTATGAATGGATGTCTATTTACTAGATGAACGTCCATCTAAAAAATTTTAAAAGAAAAATAATAGACGTCTGTCCATCTTATATGGACGGGTGTCTATTTATTATTAATGGGTGTCTATATAAAATAGACATCCGTCCAAAAAATTTTACATTCAATGGACAAGCGTCCCTTTATTTAATTTAAAAAATTTTACATTCAATTTGGGAGGCTCAAATTTTAGTTTAATAAAAAAATATCTTTAAATTTTTCAATTAGAATGTTTAAAAATTTAGGCCTCCCAAAATAGGTTTCATTTCTCTCTTGCATTTTGTTTATAAATGAAAAAAAAAAATGAAATATTTGAGAATGGACGCCAGTTTTCATTTCTCTCTTGCCTTTTCTTTATAAATGAAAAAAGAATTTAAAATTTTTTTTGAGAATGGACGCCTCATCCAAATGAGTGAACTGGCGTCCATACTTTTACTTAAAATCAATTTATTTTTTCTTTTATTTCATCTAAAAATTTTATACTTTAAAAATAAATATTTCATCTGAAATTATATGGACGCCCGTCCATATAATATGGACGATCATCCATGGTAAAAGGATATGGACAAGAGTCCATAACTATGGATAGTCGTCCTCATAAGAGGATGGGCGTCCATAAACAATTTAGAGCAAATTTTTTTAGTTTAAACTATGAACAGACGTCTATTCTAGGTGGACGGCAGTCCATTTCAAATGAACGGTCGTCCAATAACAATGGACGGTCGTCCATATTTGATGGACGGCCGTTCATTCGCGGAATATTTGTTAACGTGATACATGGCTCATCTGATTCAGTAGACACGTCGTTCGGTGTAAAAATTCGGTGCAAAGCGTCGGTGTCCGTAGTATTTTTCTTAATTAATTATTAAGCAATGCTATAGTTACCGAAGAATGTGCATCGAATTCATGCATCGAATGACGTGACATCATCATGTTTTCTTAAAAAAGGAAATTCATAATTAATTGACGTCAGGATGACATCACGTTATTCGGTGCATGAATTCGGTGTGCATTATTTGGTACATGTATTATTTTCCTTAATTATTTTATGAATTATGGGAGTGGTGATTTTAATGAAAAATATTTAAAATTCCATAATAATTTTTCCACTTAAAAAAAAACCTTAATTAAATAAGGAAAAAAAACAACTCATTTTGAAGGGTGTGTTCTTTTTTTATTTTGTGTAATTATCTTTTTTTATTTTTAAATGTTAAAATTGATTGAGAAGATTGAGAAATGAAAATGTATTGGACATGTTTGTCTAAAAATGTACTTTTCAAAAGGCCATTTTAAGTGAGGCCGAACGACTTATACCTACCCCAGGTTTGTTGCAATGACAAAGGTACCTAAAAGGTTTGAAAACGAAAAACTAATACTTTCCATCATGTGCTGTTATTGATTTCTGTTTGTAAAAGGATAATACGGTCATTTAATGTACAGCCACCAAACTTTTAAATTTTAACTATTCGCCTCAATTAATGGAGCAAACTCTTTTTTTGGAAGCTTTTTGCTTAGGAGATGACACCTGTCCCTTAATATTGACTTTGCTAAAAAACCAAATAAACAAAAATCTTTTGCCTTTTCGTTGTTTGTCTCTGAATCTCTGAAGGCGTTTGTGAACTAAGTTGCTGCCATCGTTTAGAGGGGGAGTTTATTAAAAAGACATATTGAGTTAAAATTTAATTAAAAGGCTACGTAGTTTATAAATGTTAACTAAATAGCCTTATTTTTTATTAAGCTTAATTATATATGATTAGGGGTTAATCAGAATTAATGAATAATTGTGTAATCTTTTAAAAATTATATATGTCCCCAAAGAGTCGAAAATCTTGCAAAGAAACCCAAAAACCTTCTTCTTCTTCCTCCCGCCGCGTTAACGCATTCCTCCGCCATTAACATATTGTCTAACACCGATTCTCCTCCTCCTCCAGAAATTTTGTCCAGGTATGTGTATCTCCCTTTTGATTTCATATTTCGATTTACAAAGATCTGGGTTATGGTTTTGATTTAGCATGGATTGAGTTTGGGTTATGATTTTGATTTAGTTGTTTAGGTTGTTGGGCTGTGTTCGATGTAATGAAAGTTGAAAGGAGTGAAATATGTTGAAAATTTGTTCTGGGTATGTGTTCTGGGTATGATGGATCGATTGTAGGTGGAGATGACTCTGAAAATGTGTTCTAGGTATGATGGATCGCTTAAGCAATATGGTAGATCTGGTAATGCAGCAGATAGATTGCTTAAGCGATCAGGTATGTGGCATAAGATAGCTTAAGCGATCTGATAAAAGTCTGGTGTAGGAGCAGATCGCTTAAGCGATCAGTAAATGGCATAAGATCGCTTAAGCGATCATGGCTGGATCGCTTAAGCGATATACCTGATCACTTAAGCGATCGAGTATAAATAACCATGATCGCTTAAGCGATACACTAGACCATATAAGCGACTGTCTAGATTCTTTTTAAAATATTTTAACCCTTAGTACAGCATTTAAGAATATTTTTTTCTTGCATTACAAGTAGTAGTTGGCTATTATTACACATGGGACAAGTTGTTTTGGGTGTTGAATATTTTAGTGAGTGGGTGGAGGAAGAAAGTAGCTGGAAGTGGATTGGGAAGAGCAAAGAAGTTATACCAATTGCTGTAAGCACAGAGGTTAGTTTTGATGAGTTGATTGATGAAATAATTAGAAGAGGTGATTTGAGTTGCTCGCGTAGTGATATAGTTGTGAAATATGTTTTAAGCAGAGTTCTTGAACATTATAAGGTACCTCCTGCTATATTAAAGTCGGATGAAAGTGTGAAGTTATATATGATTGATGTGGCAGATAATGGTTCGAGGCCGATTTTAAGGGTTTCTTTTGTAGAAAAACTGGTGGAAGTTTGTTCAAAGGAAGGGGATAACGAGGAAGTAGGCGGAGATTTGCCTAGTTTTAATTTGAACTACGAGGCCATTGATTTTTTAGTTGAAAAATCAAAAGTAGACGGTGAATTGGGTGGTGAGGAGGACACTGTAGAAGAGGTTGGTGATGGGGTGCAAAATGAATATGTTGAGGAGGAGGGCCTCGTATATGTTCCCACAGATGTAGAGATTCCTTTAAATACAAATTCTGCAGAAGGGGTAGATTGTGAGGAAGAGAACACTATGGTCGTTTATGCAGGTTCAGAGGGGGCAATTGGAGGTAGTAGTGAATCAGCTCATATTTTTACGGATGGATCAGAGTTGCGCATAGCGTATTTATTTGACAACAAAGAGGAAGTGGTGAGGAAGCTAAAACTTGTTGCCGTGAAAGGTCATTTTGAGTTCATCACCAAAAAGTCAAATTCATTGGCAGTGACGGTTGCATGTCGTGACCGAAAGTGCAAGTGGCGGGTTTATTGTAGAAGGTTGGCAGAGTCCGAAAAATTTATTCTTAGCACATATACCCGTGAACACACATGTGGTTTGGGACATATTTCAGGTGAGCATCGACAAGCCTCCACTGATGTTATTGGACAATTTGTCAAAAGTCAGTTCGTTGAAGGGAAATGTCCACCCCCTAAAGATATTCAGAGACTTGTGCGCACAGAGTTGGGATGTGCTGTTAGTTACTGGAAATGTTGGAAAGGGAGACAACATACACAAGATTTTGTGAGGGGCACACCAGAGCATAGGTATGCAGTATTAGAAGCGTACCGTTATATACTTGAGTTGACAAACCAAGGTAGCAAGACGGCTTTGAAGTGGGACAGGAATATGATGTTTAAATATTTTTTTGTTGCTTACGGTTCTGCTACAAGGGGTTTTGTAAACATGAGAAAGGTGTTGGCTGTTGATGGTTGCTTTCTGACGAGAAAGTATGGAGGTACATTATTGGTGGCCACTGCACAGGATGGCGAGAATCACA